TATACTCAGGAAATTGTATGATTGAATTCCCATCCTTGAAGAAATTGGTTATAGAGAATTGCCAAAAATTGAAGGGACCCACTGTTACAAGTACAAGCATGGATGCAATGGCTAACGGAAGCCATCTCTTCAGTAAACAGGTGTGTTTTCTTTATTCAACTTGCCTTTCTAAACTTTAGAACAAATTATCCTCACCCTTCTAGTCTCAATGGTGTGATGATGTATGTATATTGCATTTCCTAGCTTGGAAATGATTACCACCTCCAACTTGCTGACCTTGTTGCAAGACTCCCTTAAATCATCTTGATTCAACTTAATAAATTTTGTGTAGCTAGGTTTCACTTTTCTAATAGGTGTGTACAAGTTATGATTACAAGTGAAATGCATGTTATTACTCAGAAAATAAGGGAAGAGTTTACAAAGTCAATACCCACCAACTTCTACAAAATTATACAAAAATCAATGCTTATATCAAAATAGGCAAATGATACTCTTAAGGCTTCACTAATTGTGTTCCTCTTAATGAAATTAATAATAACCAAATTATGTTTACTTTTCTTTATTAACTTCTAAATGATAAGACTAAATGATAAGATTGAGCAACCATGAGAATTGGATGTTGGGCAGGTTAAGTTTCTAAACCTGGAGGAGTTGAAAGTGAGAAGGATTGAAAAAATTACAATGATTTGTCACTAATTATGTTCCATGTCATCTAATTAATAATAACCAATAATTATGTTTACTTATTGCCACCAAAACGATATATAAGATATATAAGATTTAGAGTTTGCTAACCAACAGAATTACTTAATGTGCAGGTTGTCTTTCCAAACCTTAAGGAGTTGAAACTAAGGTCAATAGAAATTAAAATTGTATGGCACATCTCTGCAACGACTTACTGCATTATGAACCTTACTGAACTTACCATTGAAGGCTGTGATCACTTAGAGCTGTTATTCTCGTCCTCTATGGCTAGAGGCTTGAAGAAGCTTTGCCGCCTCAAAATAAAGAACTGCAAGAATATAAGAGAGATCCTTGCCAGAGAGAATGTAGAAGACATGGAGAATTCAATTTCTTTTCCTAAGCTAACATTCCTAGAGTTAAAAGATCTTCAAAATCTTGTCAAATTCTACTCAGGAAATTGTATGATTGAATT